ATACTTTAAACAAAGGAAGAAACTAATTGTTTGAAAATTATTTTTCCAAAATACTAAAATTTTATAATTTCTTAATATTCTCTATTGATTTTTTATATGGTTTTTTACTGGTCTGAAGTAAAGTGTTCCAGACTATTTTTATGGAACATTGTACGGGGTATTTTAGCGAACAATTCCCTTTAACATTTTTCCTACAGTATTCGAAAATTCATTTAATTGGATATTAGGTATTTGTTATAGTGGACGTCTACTGTAATATTGAACACTGCTTTTTATGGATTCGAGTTTCTTTCTTTTAAATCTGCTTTTTTTTCGTAATTGTTTAGATATAGTGTTTAATATAGTAATTGATCTTAAAACTATATTGAAAATCTTTTCAAAAAAATCATATTTCTGATGTCTCATTTTTTTATTCTCATTTCTGCACGAAAATAAATGCAAATGCTATAGATTCAAACAAACAAGTGTCGGTAAACATTGAGAATATACAAAAGCACATTTTTTTTTTTATTTATAATATATAATTATTTTTTTTTGCAATCTCAAAATTTAATAAATTCTTAATCTGAAATCAGTCAAAACGTACAAAAATAATTAATGCGGTACGTAGCATCAGTGGGTGTATGGCATATAGCATATGCGACTGTATATATATTTATTAAATTGAATCACTTCTATGCACAAATATACGAGTACATAAGAGCTAGCAAACAGAACTGAAATAAGGAAGTTAAAATTTAGTCATGCAAGATTTAGAGCTTTTCTGCTGTAGAATTCACTTCAAAATATTTACATTTGAGAGAAATAGATATTTTGCGAATCTACTTTTACCGAAAAGAAATAGTGTCAAACATACTTATATATTATACGTACTATGAACGCATAAGCGATTCCGTGGTAAAACGATTTATGCTATATATAATGATTTATTTTAAACTATTGGCAAATTGTTGTAAATACACAAAAAATTACTGAATGAATACAAAAAAAAAAAACAAAAAAAATCAAGTTCTACTTCTAGTTCTGCTCTTGGCCTTTAGTTTTCAACAATAAATCATTTTTTGCACATTTATGTAAATAATATTATTCTGTATAGAATAAAATATAATTTGTTATATGTTAATATAAAAACGAATGAATAAATAATTTTGTTGTTTAATAAATTAAAATGTTTACGCTCTCATGAGTTCATATAGAAATTTCTTATAAAAACGCAACAACAAAAGAATTTACATTCGAATTCAATTCAACTCAATAGTTTCTATTATAAAAAAATATTAAACAAAAAATTTTTTTTTCCAATAACTAGTTTTAAAAACAACGAGTAGCTAGTACTTATGCGTATGTTCACAAGTATATTCTTCATTTAATATTCGTATTTCATTTTCAATAAGATAAAAGGCTTTGTTAAGACTAATGCCATTTTCGATTAGTAACTCTGGAGTAACTTCTTCACTCGAGATTCATAATTTTCATTTTCGATTGGTAAATATGGAGCGGTTACAGAAGAGGCAATAAAACTCTGTAAAGTAGGTTCTATACTATTTTTTATTGATGTAACAAAGCTTAGAGACCTACTCTAACCCAGAAGGGGGTACAGTAGACCAGACGGCCGCAATGCCACATTCCCTAACAATAATAAATAAATAAATCTCGAGCGAAATGCGTAAATGTTGAGATGAATTTATAGCACTTTAAATATTTTGCCGGAGTAGCAAGATTACCTTGAAATTAACAGCTGTTTTAGATGACTTCACAAATAAAGTATGATTTGATTCGAAAAATGTTCGAATAGACAACAAAATTTGACATATCGAGAGTAAATCTGGATTGAATTCAGATTTAAACTATAAATGCTTGTGTAAAATGTGATTAAAAAGTAACAGGAATTACCATCACAATCTTGGAATAAAGAGTATTCTACTTGAAACATAATCCATGTGTTCAGTCTGTTATAAATTATTTTACGTACACTAAGGTATACCTATCTTGTATAGACAATCAATAGATTGCCCAGTGAAATATACATACATATATATAGAACAGTAGCATTGTAACGGATATTTACGTCTGACGTCGGACATCCTCATACATACACGTATGCTTTTTGGAATCCACGTCCCCATTTACTACGTCATCTACTTCCTTACTGAATAATAAGTGAATGTGCAAGAACTTTTAAATATTAGCGACAATTTGCTTCAGTTTTAATAATGTTTTTAATTGTTGCAGTTCATATTTAATAGAGAGGTTTCGAGGAGTAGTGAATTATATTAACAACATTTTTATTTATTTTTAATTAAATTTAATTAATCACAATTTAAAACTGTTTGAAACCTCTCTCTTTTAATTACAATAGTTTATATTCAATAAAATAGTCACTATCTTCATAACTGACTTTAAAATCAAAATTAAGTGATAATAATAATATCACTACCAACTATAATAATAGTTGGTAGTTTATATGGCAAGTATATCTTAATCTGCACCGATATGAATACAATTTTTTATATTTTCTCATTTAAATATAAGTATCTAATTCCATTGGAATATCTTTATTGAGAACGGAGAAAATTCATATCCGATTGTTTCGTTTATATAGCAATTATACAATATAGTGATCCGATTTTGACCAATAAGACAAATGATTAAAGCCCACTCCCGAAAAATATGTGTGCAGCACATTTTATTCGAATAGTTCAAAAATTGAGAGAGCTAAAGAAAAAACAGACAGCATATAAGAATCTTGATTTCTTATATACTTTATATTAGATATATTAATTTATAGATTATATTTTTAAATAATATAAAAGTTGATATTATCTCTTAGATTTAATATAAATTATAATAATTTTTATCAACTATAAATTTGAGTAAATTTATTCAAGAACACTTACCATACAATTAAAAAGTTGTAACATTAACATACCACAAATCTTAATAAAAAAATGCTAGTTAATATGTTTACAATGATAATATATTGTAACCCTGTAAACGTTAATTATTATATTAATTAAATTAATTACTCAAGTGATTTAACTAATATCACTGTTGCCAATTACAGTATTTCAACAAGTAGAATAACACTTGCGCATTTTATGCTAATTAGCCCTACTGCATTTTATATAAGGTAGAATAAATTATCTTAATTAAAATATCTTTAGTACAGTCCAAGCTCGACAATTTAAACTATTTTCAATTTGAACATAATGTTTTTTAAGTGATAGAGGTAAGCAGTTGCAAATGATAAGATATATAGATATAGATACTGTGATATACCTACTTCTGTGATATTAATAATATCACATAATAATATTGAAAGTTGGTCCATAAAATTTTAAAAAAAAAATTATTTATTTATTTTTAAGTAACTCAAGATACCACTGTTCTGTTGCGACTGTACTTAAAATTCTTAAGTTATATATAGAATAAATTTTTGTTTCCAGTTAAACTCGTATCAACTGATTCGACTTACTAATTTATGATATTATATTAAAATGTATTAGTTCTGTCTATCTGTGCTTTTTATTCAGAGATATTCCTTTCAGATACTGATATGCGTTTCATACTGTATGGATTTTTCCATTGCGTAGCGCTTGTACCAATAACCAACTTTTATACTGCATTTTTAAGTACCTGTAAAATAATATTAATGTTAATGGTTTATATTTCAACTGAAATTGTTGCTAATAGAGACAAGTTCAAATTGCATATATTATACTATGTTACCACTTGTCTCATTTAGGCAGTTTTGTATATTGAGGCCAAAGTGCTTTCATATAAATGAGCTCATTATAAATTAATTAACTTATTTAAGGCGAAAAATGTAGCATACAACGCTGAAAAATAAATTTCCCACAAAGGAAATGACCAAAATTTAAAATATTCGTCATATGTTTTATAGGTAAAATGTAAATAAACAAGCTATTTCACATGCATAAATCAGCTTATGCCAATGGAAACGACCAAATTATGATTTCATGAAAATAAGTAGTTTTGGCTGCAGTTATAACGTGATATCAGATAAACATATACTTGCATTTTTTTTAACAGTTTTTTATGCAGAATTTAAGTTATATTACTACGCCTTTCGAAGTATTCTATCTGTGAAAAACATATGCACCCTTATATGCTGGATTTTCAAACAGTTATTATATCTATGGTATTAATCTTCTGCGATGGTTGAATAATCCTTTAAATCTTTGCTATAGTTTTTATTTAATATTGTGGTCATTATTCAATATAATCATCACTATGACTTAATTGTTTATTAAGTCTATTCAATATGGTGAATAGCCTTAATGGAGAAGTCCATTCTGGACCTAACAGAGTGTTAAGCGTTGCAGATCTACATATATGTGTCTAGAACCTGTTAATAGTTTTTGAAAATAAGAATAAGACATAGAGACTCAAGTAATCAAGTTGCTAGTTCACTGCAGCACGATAATATGATAGTTAAAAGAAATCTTGTTTATTATGACGATTTTTAACCTCAAAGTGGTGGGTCTAAGATTGAGATATAAATTATATAAAATCTAAAAACAAGTATTAAAGTTTTTATTGTTCCAAAGTCCTTTACTTAATTCTTTTAATTTGTAGATAACTTATTTAGAAGAACTTCCGTAGTAGTTTTATTTGTGTAATATTTTCTATCCTTATTATTTTATGCCTATATTATACAAATGTTGGTTATATAAACCGAAAATTGCAATTAAATCCCTTCACTTTTCAGTACATAATTTGTTAAACATAAACATAAATTTTTCGTTTAAAACATTAAAACAAAAACTAATCTAAAAGGTTGTTACCTTCAATGTACATAACCGGGTCGAAAGCTAGTTATTATCTATTTTTGCAGTTTTCGAGCTGATAAGATTCGAAAAGTATAGCGCGTGTATAAAAATAATATATTTTACACAATAGTTCCTTTTTTGTTAAACGATGTGTCATTGCAAAGCTCTTATCAAATACTAATATTTTGTAATTTCTATATTTTTCAGACTAGCGTCAATTAGTCACCGAGAAAGCGCAGTTACAGTGCGTTTCCGTTGCTGTATCGCCGCCATGACTTCCAGACGTTGTGGTTTAATACGCCGCCTTCTCTTCATAATTATTGGAATACTTTTTATAATAGCTGGAGTATTGTTATATATAAATTGGATAGACATATTTACGCGAATGCGGGGAAAGGTGAGTCTATTTTCAATATTTACCGGGTATCAAGGAAAAGTCTACCATAAAAAACTATCAACCAAAAATCCTTAATGTTTTAAAACGGTTAGTCCTTAATTAGTCCATTTAATATCCTTTATTTTGATACCTAAAATATTTTTGTGCTATTAATCGATTCGAAAGTTATAGTAACTCAAATTTTTAACAATAATTATAAATGTATTTATAACCACTTCCAAGTTTCCCAATAGAAAACTTTAATATTTTAAAATCGATTCAAATTTATGTGAAGGAGACTATTAGTGAGAAGAATATAGTGTTCTTGTTTAAACATTGCTCGTAAACGTTTTTATAGAATAAAAAATTGAGTATAAAAAAAAATCTTACTATATAAATTAGTAATAATACCAAGCGCTCTCTATGGTTGTTTAGCATTTAGTAAATCGTTGAGTTCCACTATTAAAATTCAACAGACGTACTAATATATTGTTCTGAAAAACTTTCTAAAAATTATATAGCATGTAAGACACAATGAAAGAATATGAAAAGCTCTCAAATTACTTTTGAGTTGACAGCTGTGTTGAAATTCTAAAATTCAACACAGCTGTGTTGAAACTACTAAAAAGTTTGTTCTCTTCATTATTAGCAAAGTAAGGAGGTCCTTTAGTAAAATTCATTTAGCAATATTGTTTTCTCTCTTCTTTTATATGGTCTTCCTATGTATATGCTTTAAAATATATACGTCTTTTCTGTGTTCTATGATTATTTTCTCTGTTGAATTGTTGTTCTGAGTTCTAATGTGATCATTCTCACTTTTTTCTCAAACAAGGTTTAATCGTCGTTGCAATCGCGTGCCCCACTCTTTAACATATTCACATATAGTATTTATTCGGCGAGACTTATTCCTTTCTGTAACCTCATTGTAATTACTTTGTGGAGAGGGTTGCTCTTATTTTTATTTTGAATGTGCGTTCAGATCTTCAACTTATTATCGTATTTTATGCTGGCCGTCCTATTTATTAGCCTTGTTTCTATTTCTCAGTTTCAAGAGATTTACTATTGTAGAATGTGTGTAAGTAATTTTTATTTCTAATTTTTAAATTGTCCAGATTGTGACGCTTAATAACTGAATAAGCGTTGTAAAAAGCAAATACTGTTTCTTCTATTGCATTAATATGATTTACATAAAAATTCGCTAGGAAATATGTGGATGTATATGTGGAATATATACATTAAACTTATAAAGAATACAGAATTTATGATTTGATTTAACAAAAAATATACTCAATATACTCACTTGCCTTAGCTGAATGAATTGAAGATACAAACTGAATCAATCTACGAAAAATGTATGGAGGATTGGACTAAACGCTCAATTGGATTAGAATTGTCTTAAACTCGATGAAGCTTGACTTAAAGACTATAAAAAAATGTTTATTGATTAATATTTTTTTTTTGTGTTTTATTGAAACATTCGACATACTGTATACAATATTTCTATTTTCCTTATTGCTTCCAGTTCTTCGTTATAGTAGAAGTCTTAAACCTTTGATGTGCAATGTCAGCTTCATAAAACCAACTTAGATGTTTATTATTTCAAACAAGAGAAACAAAATACGAAATAAGCATTTCTTATTCTTAAATTAAAAATTTTTTTGAATTGATAAATTCGTATGAAAAACAATTCAATTCAGCAATTCATCTCAAATATTTGAATTTGTTTATTGGTTGGTTGGTTGGTTGCAGTGGCAGGCCATTAGTTAAATTCCATGTACCTCCATTAGCGATATTTCGTCGTTTTACTACCATATTCCTCGCAAGAACCCTAGTATAGAACAGTAAAGTCTAAATCCATCCCGCCGAATTTAAATAACTTAATAGGCTTTTCGTCTTCACTGATGAATAGTCTGAAAAACTATCTAAGAGTTTGTTTATTACTCGTATTTTTTTTTGGTGATTCAATTTAACAGAAATCTCCAATTTAACATTTTTCTTAGATCAAAATGTAGTGTTTAGATTTTAAATGTATCAGCATTTTCAGATCTATAAATTTTTAAAAATCAGACTATATTCAAAGAATTATCATATATAATAATAAGCATAAACTTAATAAACATAAATATTTTAGCTCCACATATAATATTTTTTTGAAGGTATATCTGCTTTTGATTTATTCGAATATTGAACTGACTAATTGCAATGAATCTGTCTGTATACAATTTTTGCGATAAATAATCTATAGTACACTCAACACATCGCTGTGGTATTTATTATCTTTATGCATTTATAATTATATATATTTGTACACCTATACGCATTTATATATAATATAAAATATATGAATCATTATTTAAATTATACAAAAAATAAAAATAAACACAAAGAAAAATTTTGTTAAAGCAACAAGTACAATTGTTATACAAACATACAGACATTAAAAAAAAATTATATTTAAATTAATTTATACTGGAATAAATATATTATTCGAAGGTTCGAAGCTCTTATGGACAATATTTCAGATACTTTTATCAGTAAATACAGTAAAAATTAAATAAGTAAACTGCACTGTTTTTTTTTTTTTCAAAATAACTGATATGTGATTGGCAGTTGAATGGAAAGTTAACTTCATATTAAATCTTCAATATTTTATTGACAATAATTTTTTTATATACAATTAATAGAGTAGAATATAATAGAATATAAGCTTCGATGGTTTATGGTAATTGATCTTAATAACTTATAATAAAAATGTTAAATGGAATTGTATTGTTTTTGTTTTTCATGAATTCATTTAGGAACTATTTAGGTTATTTCTCTATATCTCTTATTCTTTCTTCGTAATGCCGAAGGTCCTCACGATCATCCTACCATGTCCCAAAGTGGTTTAATCTTCTGACACATATTGTCTTATGTGGTTCTCAAAACTTTCCTCCTACTCTTAGTTATCATATATATTTTCACAGCACGGCTTTTGTTTCATCTCATTATATGGTCATATCATCTTAGTCTGCTTATTTGTAGTTTACCAATGATTGATGTAACTTTCATAGAAGTTCTTACGTCGACATTTCTGATTTTGTTTGTGCTTATCTCGTTGACCAGCCAAAAACATTTAGTTCGACTACAACTACCACTTGATTATGTTTAGACTAGACTAGACGGACAAACTAGATTATATTAGAATCTAGTTAGATTAGATTAGTAAGTAAGATTATGTTTAGAAAGTATAGTATTCCCGGCAATATTTTACGATAGTGTTATTCAGGATAATTTTTATAAGAATAAAAAGTAGTTTCCACATGTATGTACGTGACGTTACGTTACCCTACGTTGTTAAGATGGAGTTTCTAGAGTTAAAACCAGTTTTTATAATACTCATATTCTTGATTAAAAAAGCAACACTTCAACTAATTAATTTTTTCTTTTGGGAGAATTCTGATATTCGTTTATGATAGTTTTGGAAAAAGGATTTCCGAAAACTGTAGCCCTATTTCTTATTCCTGTGCATAATATATGAAAATTTGACAATTCTTCTTATTTTTCTTGGGAGCGGCTACAAAAATCGTTGGTTATAACACCAAAGGATCTGTACATACCTACTTTTTACAAGATATTTAATATTATCCTATTCAAGTTAAATATTTTTTTTAGTTTTGCAAGACGTTTTAATCTTCTACCTCATTTGTGCTTTTTTAAGAAAAGAACATTGTAACATAGATTTAATAATATATAAAAACCTAGAATAAAACTGATATAATGGAAGTTATTTTAAAAGGAAGCCGATGGAATCTGTAATTCAGTCCGGTTAATAGAATTGTCTGTTTAAAAGAACGTACTTCTTATAAAAGATAAAAAATGTGTATTTTAATGTTTAAATTAAAATAAAAATTAAATTAGAATTAAAATTAGAGATTGTATAATATATATAAAAGTATATTGGTACCCCACACAACTTATAATATTTGAGGGCATATTTATTAATTTTGGAAATGATATTTTTTTTTAGTATATAACTTATCTAATATAGTCTTTTTTTTATTATTTCTATTATTGTGGGTTGACTGTTAATTGCGTGACTTGAAAATTTATTTTATCTTAAAATTTTTTGGACTTTCTATTAAATGAATATTTACATTTTAATCAAAAATATTTTCCTAAAAAAGCATATTTCAGCATATTTCGTTAAAATAAATTTTTAGGCTGTCTAAGTGCGTTAAGCACTCAATTTTATTACATTTATGAAATTTTTGTATATATATAAATTTTATAATTTTTTCCATTTTTTTAACTTGCAACTTTATCTAATCACTTTTGACAAATCTTTGTTTGATAAGATTATGTAAACTTCACTTCAAGAGTCGAACTTATCAATTCTGAAGATAAATATTTTTCATAAAATGTTTATGCTTTATTAGTTTTAAACAATATTTCATTTTAAAAAAAACAAGACGATTTTAATCTTTTTCGTAATATACAAAACAAAAAAAAAAATAAAAACTAAATTAATAATATTATTTTTTAAAAACTAACACTGATTATGTTATTTATATGCAATTAATTGGAATTATGTCTTTTGACTTTGTGAATTTGATTATATCTTTAAAAGTTAATACTTTTATAAAAGTTAATACTACATTAAGGCAATTGAAAATGATTCTTTAAAATTTAATCACATCATGACCAAACTACTCTAAAAAATATTGTGTTAAATAAATTTAGAGAGACATGGCCTGACGCAACATGTCTCTCCAGGTCAAGGTAGATGAATCCTTGACAGATTCGAAAGTAAAGTCACCAGATACTAATTCGGCATCCGACCGACATATTCAGTTGTTCTACTTTAGAACAATTGTGCGATACTATTTGAAATAGTCAGTTAGTCAATGACACGTCTTTGCCATTTAAAACAAAACCGGTGGAACGAAAGGTCATTTACTGTTAATGGAAACATTTTCGCTTTCTTCTTTTCAGAACTTTTTTACCATTGTCAATCTATCTTCTATTTGATTGCTCTTTGTTCTCCTGGTCTTCAGAATGCAGCAGTGGATTCTCGATTTAACATAACAACAGCATAACTGTTTTGTTTATATTATTTGTGACAAGTTTTGGAAATCTTTAACTTGACTTGCTTTTTGGTCCACTTATCGTGACACGCAACGCTCGGGAATCTTTCTTATATCATGCATATGCTATATTCCTGACTTTTATTTAACGAATATCTAATACTATTTGATATACTTTTTTGTAGTTTTCGTTGGTGATGGCAAATTTTATATATCTTAACTGATGCAACGATGATGATATAAGTAACCCATATTTTTAATATTTTATACGATAAAGCAGATTTGAATTTGTGGCGGCGTCTTATATTTTATAAGAATTTAGTTAATTAATCACAACGTCAGTTTACTAACAATTACAACTGATCGATAAAAAAAATTATTTAAAATAATTTTAACAGTAAAAATAGCTAATAGTTTTTAATAGACTTTCTAATTTTCTATAACTAATAGTTTATACCGGCGATTCAAAGGGGTTTCACTTAAGTTTTTGGCCTATTCTCCGGGCTCAAAACCATTTGGAACCTTTGGTGAAGCTTGAAATGCTGTTTAGTCGGAAGTCTTGTAGTTGATCAAATTCCTCAAAAAATGGGACCCCTAAAGTATTAAGTTGTCGCCGTACATGAGCGACAACTCATCGGTTTCCCAAAAGCTGCGACAGGTATAATTTAAAGGGAAATTCAATCTTCTAGCATGGTTACCTAATCTATAATGACCTATAAGTAAACCTAACGCAAAACTGATGATATGGCGCATCTCAGTGAGAGAATTTGATTACCTTTGAGTAAAACGCGACTAAATTGCATACAAATGTCTGTATATTGTTGAGTGTTCCTATCTTTTACTAAAAAGTTTATCTCAGAAAGAATTCGGTAACAGTTTACCTGATATTAACAATATACCCAGATTGTTTAGGTGTTTCGAGTGAAGTCCTGAACCACCCCTTCTAAGCAAATATAGTAAAATACCCGCCTTATAAAGAGCTCGTCACAACGTGACTATAACTGTTAGCTATAATAATATTTATAACTATTTATACGTTAATCAGGGGATTAATGACCCAATATGATGATGGGTCATCATATTCTTTTGTATGCATTTTAACTTTTTATATGAGTATTTCAAAACAACTTGGATTTTTGTTCATATTATCTACTTAATATATTTATTTTCTTTAAAATTATTAAAAAAACCTTAAACAAAAGCCGAATATTTCTTAATTAATTGTTCTCAAACTTTTCCAAATTCTTTTTTGTAATATTAAATAATTTTTATTTAACTCTTCAATTGTTTATTTAGAATTTTAACACGTCTGATAAATTTTGTTGATTCAATAATAAAACAATTTACAATTTTAAATATTTTTGCCTTTATGACTTAATGAACGATGAATAAGTCAATTAGCAACAATTTCTGAAGTATTCCTATTAACACCTGCTAACAATAAAGTAAATTAATGTTATATGAACCTAATACCCAAAAATCCCTTACTTTTAAAGATAAGCCATATTTGAATTTTTATAACTTTCTTCTATATACCTTTTTCTCGCTCTCTCTCTCTCTCTCTAACTCAACTTTTCTCTTTCTTCCTCTTTCTTTTACTTTGTTATTGTTATGCAAACAAAATATTTGCAGCTCTTTTATATTCATCCAAGAAACTGGCATTTATGATTACCTAGGTCGGTTTCCTGTTCTTTGTTCGATTTATCGATTATTTTTCGATTGCTTGAAAAAGCTAAAAAAAATAGAGCATTTTTATAGCAATAAAGTACACCTGCATTTAAAGCATTTCCCACTTTATTTGAACTAGTATTTCACATTCCACTTCGTCGCAAAAAACGAACAACCCAAGATCCACTTGAGCTCTTATGATTTTGTCTAGAGTTCAATATTTTCACTCTGATGTGATTATGTGTGAAAAAAAATATTAAAAATCATCAATCAAACTAAAGTCGTTGAAATTATTTTTTTGTTTGACATTTTTGATTGATAAGAAGAATGCAATTCTATTATGCGTTCACATGATTTAATTACTTAATTAAATAATTTGTATCTTTTAAATAATTCCTATAAGTTTCGCATACCATATGTACATATAATATAATATTTTTAGAACTGAAGTGAGCCGACTGAGAGCTTTGTTTGGCATTAAGTTTATTTTAATTAGAATATATTATTTATTTTTTAATTAAAGTACATTATCATTTCACAATCACATTGTTTGTTTATTGCAAGGCAATGACTTGAATTATTTCTTCTTTTGATTGCAGAGAAAAATGCGTATCTTTGGGTTTCAGTTATATCTTTAAAGAGTAAATTTATTTGATTAATTTGTTTTGAAAATAATAAAAATAATAAAACTAATAACTAAAAAAAAAGATTTTTAGTACTGGTTAATGTCACACAAATATTGATACCATTTACCCCGTCTTTTTATTAATTATCATAAACAATGGAACTTTAAAAATGAAGAAATAGATCAAAAATTTTACCCTTCTCTGAGTTTTAAATCGTTAACATTTATTTTGTCGTTTTTTAAGCAAATACAAGAAATACTGTTTTATTATTACCACCTATAACCACCTATTACCACCTTTCCTTGTGAACCGTCAACTCCTAAGATGTTACCATTAGGTACATTTATGCTTTCTTTACCTACATTGAGTTACCCGTTACTCCTGTTGTGAAAACCCGATCCTTGCCTGTCATTATCATCCACAATGTTTAATGTCAACATTAAGCAGCTTAATAGAAATATTGAGGCTAGTGTTCATACTAGTTTATGGGTGTATTAACAGTAATATCCATTATAGTCTTTCCAAATATTCCTTTAAAAGTTAGAAGGTGTGCTATTACAAATGGTAGTTCTTCTAATAACTAACATAATTTGATTAATTTTTTTTTACATTTTTATCGCTGAGAGGCGTGTTAAGACTGTATCATGTCATCTACAATATCTTATTGACACTATAAAAAACGTAAATACCACTAAGCTATCCATTGCTTTAACATAGCCAAAAATCTGATATTTTCAATGTCTTGCTAACCTTGATTTCTTTCTCAACAAAACCTTTACTCCGATATTCTGTAATACAAAAAAATCGCCAAAACCACACATAACATACATTGTGTTACTGATGTACATAACTAAGCAAAAACACAAACTAATTATAGTGGCTGTCAGGTAATTAATACCTAGTTCACAGACAATTCAACCAATACATAAAAAGATACAAGATCCTTCAGGAACAATTTTAAAATCCTTGTTATTTTTTAATTACACCTCGTAGTTATGATATTTATTCGTTAAAGGAAATGGCACTAAGTCCAACATCACCAGCCTATCCAAATTGGAAAGTATCACCACTGCCATTGTACTTGGATGTTTATTTATTTAATTGGACAAATCCAGAAGATTTTTATGTGGGTTCCAAACGAAAACCTAAAGTAGAACAAATTGGACCGTACCGTTTTCGAGAAAAACCAGATAAAGTCGACATAGAATGGCATACGTCTAATGTCTCTATATCTTTTCGTAAAAAAAGTTTATTTTATTTTGATGCAAATAGCAGCCGTGGAAGTTTGGAGGATAAAATTACCTCTGTCAATACAGTAGCACATGTAAGACCTTATATTTTGCAATATATACACATTTATAACTTTATTACATATTCTTATATTGAACAAAGACTGCAGCTCTACGCGCCAAAAATGAAAATATATTTCAAAAGTTACTTTTAAAAAAAGGTCTGCAATTATTTAAACAAGGTGTATCTATAACAAAAACAGCAGAAGAGTGGATGTTTAAAGGCTTTATCCATCCACTTGTTAATATGGGTAAAATTGCTTCACAATTCAGTGATGATTTTAAAGTACCTTACGATCGAATTGGATATTTTTATACTGTAAGTAAATATATAAATCTTTATTGTATTAAGAATATATTAGTTATTATCTAAATAAATGCTTTTTATTTTAGCGCAATGATAGTGCTTACTATGACGGACATTTCAATATGTTCACTGGTGCTGACGATGTCCATAAAATGGGTCAAATTCATACATGGAATCATATGACACACAACGGTGTATTTCCAGACCAATGTGGGGAAGTAAAAGGCTCAATGGGAGAATTTTTTCCACCAAATCTTACCACCAATGACACCATTTATATATACTTGCCAGATCTATGTCGAGCCATACCATTAGATTATACTGAGACTGTTAAAATACATGGAGTAACAGCGTACAAATTTAGTGGTGGCAGGAGATCAATAGACAACGGTTCGTTTTTAAATTACATATAGAGATTAATTATTATTAAATAAACATTTTATTATTATTTTTCTATTTATTTATTAGGCACACTTTATCCAGAGACTAAATGTTTTTGTGTGAATGGAAAATGTGAAGCTTATGGTGTGATAAATATTGGTCCCTGCAAATACAATTCCTCATCGTATACATCGTATCCACATTTTTATCAAGCAGATCCAAGCTTCTTAGAAGCAATCGATGGGCTTAAACCAGATAAGGAAAAACATGAATTTTTTATGACTCTTGAACCGAATGGTGGATTAGTTATGGATGTAGGCGGCGGTTTTCAGGGAAATTATTTATTAGAACCAATTGCAGGCATTCCGTAAGTAAAACTTATACAAAACATATTATATTACTTTATTTATTTTAATTAATTCTACTTTTAAAACCTTTTCACAGACCCTTTAATAATATCGAACGTACTTTCATGCCACTAATGTGGGCTGAAGAACGCGTACGTGTTTCAGCTGAAATTGCAAAAGACATCGCTTTAGTGCCTTTCATAGTGCTATTAGGACAAATACTAACTGGAATGCTATTCGCTGGTGGTATAATTCTAATTTGTTGGTATCCAACAAAATGTATAACACATTTGTGTCATGATCCAAAGAAGAAATCAAGTCTATTAAACCCATTATCATGTAATAGAACAGTAACTTTAATGACACAGCAAAGTAAATCTAATGGAACTTCAGTGCCTTTATTGGACTATAAAAATGGCAAATTTATACAACCCAATGGTATCGTAAAAGATAGTTTATTAAACAACACCCTTAGTGTGCAGAACGATGTGATAATTAGATAATAATTATATAAATTTAATGTAAAAATTTCTTAATGTATATTGATATTTTTAGTTATTTTGCATATATTACCGCTTCAGTAATGAGTGATTAAGAAGTATGATTTCACTTAGATAGAGTATCTCTACGTATACCGTATTGAACGCCTTATGGAAAGTACAATTTATGTACAATTTTCGTTTATATAATGTGCTGTGAATTTTGTCTTTAACTAAATTGATTAGAATCATAAATTAAATTGGCACCTTGATTTATTAAATTTATTTGTCAAACTTAGCTTTAAAACAATATAGTATAGTCTATATATTAAAAATATAATATGGTAAAGCTAAATTATGCATATCGTAAAACATATGAAATTTGTAAATATTTGATAGCATTTTAAGCCTTTAAAAGCATTGAAGCTATGAGTTCTTAACAAGATATTTAAATTCATAGTTTTTTTTTAAATAAAAATTTTATTATCTTTTTTTTTATTTTATGTCAATTATTTGCTAATTATCGTTTGCTATGTATTATAATGTTATTATGCCATATATTTTGAATTTATATATTCAAATTAATAATTTATAAAATTAAATATATTAAATTAATATATATATATATATATATTATATATATATTATTTATATAATTATATATATATATTATTATATATATATTATTGTCGATGTCGACATCATTGTACATTGTAGCTATATACTTGCAATTTTATATACATATATGCCATTTACATAGTTTATGCTCGGTATAAAAAGCTTTAAAAAAATTTCAAATTTCAATTGAGCCAAATAATATAAATATAACATTTGTGTTAATATTTATTTTTATATTATAAGAAGAATTTAGTTTATACTACGTAAAAACACGTAGACGTATATATTTATTTTTAAATTGAATAATATTTTCCATATTTTATAATATTGTTATTGATTCACATTAATCATATTAAAATTTATTTAATTTTATATTTATTGATTAAATTTAATTATTTAAAAAAAGTATTTCTTGTTATTAAAATTGTTATTCTAAATTATATTGTTAAGCATTCTTATCATTTATTTTTATTTTTGTAATTACATAAAAAAATACTGAATTTTGAATTACAATTTGAATTTTTTCAATTTTGTGAAAATAATATAAGCAATTTATAAGAATTATGTATAAAAATAAAACAAAATATGAAACTGATATGTGTTTTTATTACATTCATTTCATTTATTAATGGATTTATTTTTTTCACTATTCTTCCATACGAGATGAACATTAATAATAATTAATTTTAAATTTACTAAATTATATTTTAAATAATATAATTATATAAAAGCTTGTAAATTTGTTTTTTCTTATTTTATAATTATAATATAATATTATGATAATAATTATGTTATAATAAATAATTATATTATAATAAATATAATAATAAATTAAATACATATAATATATACACAATATACAATAATAATTGTTTATTGTTAACTATACGAAACTAAATTTGTAAATTTTAATTCCAATATAAAAATAACCGCCTTCAATGTTTCTAAGGGAAGTTGTGATATTACTCCGCCCTGAGGCAAAAATCGAACTAACTTAGAAATCTCGGCGATATTTATATAGAGCACTATATAAAAATAAAAATTAATTTATAATATTTTATTTCATTCACATTAGGCTTTTTAAAAAATTAAAATTTTTAAATAAATAAATACTCTAAGATAATATTATTAGCAACTTTATGTCTTCTGATAACAAATCTATCTTCAAGTAGAAAAAGAAATTTTTGAATATAAAATTTTTAATAAAATGAATCCTTGGTATGGCTTTAGATCTGTTTTGGATACCACTTTTAGTTATACATTAGACATGTGATAATTCTTGATACATGCAGTGCCAATATTATATATGGACAATTAAACCAATATATGAGTGTGTTTTGAAGAGGATGGACAGTCCACAAATTCACTTTAATAAAAATCAAATTAAATTTGTTCTTTTGTCCTTCATCTTCTTTGAATGATATATTTATATAAAATAATTCTTCAAATAATTTTTAAGCTTTGTAAAACTGCCCGTATTCGAACACCATATGATGCTCGAGCATCAAAGCAAAACATTATATTGTGACCAAGTAATTGCTACAATAATAACTATATAAAACAAGAGACCCAATTCCATTATGCTCCAACTGTTCTCAAAGTTCGATACTTGATTACTTTAAAGCACTAATATAAAATTAAAAAATCTTTTTATTTAAAAAGTTTATTGTTCTTAACGACTCAGGAAATCATTAAAAGTTAGCAGGAGTTTTCCTCCTAAATGTTGTAGAGTATTCCGAATAGTGTACCCAGAAGTTCAACACATAAATATTTCAAAAATTTACAACACAGCTATTAGAAAAAGTGCTCTGTTATAATAATTAATTGCTACTTAATAGCAATAAAAAAATAATATTTCAAATATTCGTATATAAGTAAAGTTTAGTATTAAATGATATTGATGCAATATTATAGTACAATCTACTTATTAATATAAATAACTACAATAATTTATTTTGCCTAACGTTCCCAAGTGGGTTGCTTTAAAAATATACCATAAGTACTTTTAAATTACATAGGAAGCATTAATATCGTTCACAAAGTCTTATTAATATCAAAACTAGTATTACGTATTGATACCTCAATACTTTAATTGATATATAACACATATATATACATTTATATTCAAATATAAAAAAAAAATGTGTCTAATGTACTTCTATTAACTATTTGACCAGCCAAAGTTTGTTCTTCCAAAAAATTTTTTTCATAAGTATTTTCTTCGGATTTACCTGAATTAAAGAAAATTTTCTTGTATGTCTGCTATAGATTCAAAATCTACAAAAATTATCAATCTAGAGTATATAAATCTGTAGGGTATATATGGTATATCTAAACTCCTCCTGAGAGAGTCGATGATTTTATAACCTTTTCTACGGTGATAGTAAATCCATTTCCTTTGTAGCTTTTTTCTTTGATGATAGAAATATATAACTATCATTAACAGATTTTTCAACCACTCTCTTATTGGACTAAAGAGGTCTCTTTGGCTTTACTTGTTTTCATCGATGTTTTCATTGATGTTTTCATCTCAACCCAAAATTGTGGCTCTTGTTCTTGATCGCAGCTGATATACTCCAATCATGCCACTATGTTATACGATTGGTTGAAAGTTCGCAATAATACATTGTAAGCTCTCGAATGAGGAATAAACAAATCCTGCTTACATACAAAGTAACAGAAAAAAGTCTTAACTACTTATCATCGCATGTTGACCATTTTAATTTATAAAATTAAATACTTCTTATTAAATGATGAAGTATCAGTTTCTGTCTTAGCAATATCTCATTACGTGCCATACAGAGAGATATTTCAATGTCATTATGATTAGTAGAGTCTTTTTTCTATATTGCATAAATCGATCGCTTTTTCTTTGTATTATGAATACATCGACTACACTTTATAACGAATCACAGTCTAAAGATTTCAACATTTCAATATTATAGATACAAAACGCACGATTGTCCGCACTGATATGAGAAATAGAAAAATATGTATTATTTTTTTTAAATAAAATCAAGATTTTATTTGATATTCTCAACAAATAACTATTTTAAATATTTTCATTAATTAAAGAAAACCAATAAAACAAGAAAATTAATAATAAAAATAAGAATAATAAAGAATACTGAACATTGCAATTATCACAAGAAATGTATTCCCAGGTAGACGAAATGGATATGATAGTGATCCATTGCGTTCGTGCAAGCGCTTATCTAATTTTATCGCCAGATCAGATGGTAGATCTATATACACACGTGATACACCAATGGTACATATTAATTCCCATAATTTTTCAACATCGACGCGGTCATCTGGCGAAGACCAAATTGTAAGCGTAACCTTGTGAGTTACAGACGAAGATATCAACAGTTCAAGCAACTGAGTTTGACTATTTGCAGCAAAAACAGCTCTTACAGGGAATGTCAACTTTTGGCCATAATTATAAATGTCAAATTTCTAAAGTACAAAATTTATTATGTTTTTGTTTTAATGGATACAAATAAATTATCACCTTTATAACATCCAGCATTTGTTGGACTTGGTCTGTAGTATAAAAAGGATTAGTAATTTCTTCACGCCAAAATGTAGTCCATCCAATGGAAATTACGGCATCCTTAAATTTTCTACATCCCATAAAAAAACGCTGTGGATCGACTGGTATCGTTTCATTTTCATCAACTGGACCTTTAAGAATGTCAGCATTCAACCAAATAGGACATTTCATCTATGGATATATACATATTTTTTTTAAAAAATATTTTAATCTAAATTAAATAAAATTAATGTGTCCCAGAGACTGTAATGAGTACTCAACACTCAAATCATACTCGAATCATTAATTGTGCTTCATTTATATGCATTCTGATTCTTTTTTTCGTATATTCGACTCCACCTGATTCACAGACACAGCTGACAGCACTTATAATGATTTATATTCTACTCATATGATACTCATAAACAGCACCATTCGACATAAAAGTGATGCAAATGATTTATGAATCATTCATGAGTCGGTTAAAATTCGCTTGTTATTGTTTACTGTGCATATAACTTCCTACTAAAACAACCCTTAATCTACACATAATATTTAAGAACACATGCATTTACCATCCTAAACAACAACAACAACACATACCAAATGTTGTTTTTGCTTAGCAAACAACAGCGCTCACACAAATTTTTAGGATTGATATAATTCAATCCAGTCATTTATATTCGATAAGGATATTCATACTCACCTGAGTATATGCTATCATTCATGAATCATTTGCCATTTAAGCTACTCTACTTAGAAATATGTACTCATTCTTCTGAAGCTGATTCATTAGCACCAGTATTCGTTAACGAAAACACTTGTGAATCATTTCTGTGGTGAATGTGAATGCATATAAGCAGTATGTGAGAAAAACGCTTATACACATTTATATTTGGTTTTTTATGAGTGTACTTTGAGTGTTAAAGATTCATTGCAATTCTTCCATGTGTACACAAGTTTTAAAAAACTTAGGTCCATTAATAAAATAAAGAAATAGATATATATTTCAATAAAATTTTTACCATTTGTTCATAATAATAGGTTTGTTATAATAAGATAAAAGAAAATATATATAAATGAATCTTACTTTAGGTAGCATAAGATGTAATACGTTTAGAGATGCCTCGAATACCTCAATAGACTTAAAATCCAACTTAACACCTTTTTTATTATTTTCTTTAGCAACATTATTATGTTTCATTATTTGATCTAAAAACATTTTTAATGAAATGTCAGAAATGGTGTTCGGTGGGTGAGCCATTATAGGTATCTTAGTAACCGATCTGGTTTCATACAGTGCACCTAACATTACATCTGCTTCGATCATGTCGATTTTTGTATCTTAAAAAACATAATAATATAACACTTTAAAAAAGGATTATTTATTAATATTTAAGTAACGTGTTCTTAAGATCACATTCTTTTAATTGATGATTCAGAACATATTTGTTCTAGTACTCACCATTCAAAACATGATCGAGGTATTTTTGACTGTTGACTGCATGCGCCCACTTAATGAGATACGAAAGTTTCTTGTTTTTCATTGCGTTCATATTGGAGCTGTTAACTGTGCTACTCTGATTTTCTTGTTTATATGGACAGGAATTGGAGTTTGAAATTAAATCGCTATCAAAAATTTCATCTGATTGAGCTGTCATAAAAAAATATTTATAAAATAATATTTTTTTTTAATTAATTGAAAAAAATTGATATTAGTAGGTTGCTTTGTTTTTTTTTGCATATTAATAACATAAATGTATTTCTATATCAATTATTATTATGTTGAGGCTAGTAGAGTCAGTGCACCTGAGCACTTTTACTCTCTGTTAACTGCGAGGTTTCTTCATAACCAGTCTCTAAGCCTTCACTGGACTATTGTTTATTACTTCATCAGACTAAGTAATAACTGAATTCAGATCTGCATATCTCCCCGAAGAGCCTCTATGTTACATATTTTAACTGTTATGAATAAAATTATATTATTAGCGAATATGTTATTAATAAGGGACAAATATATAACTATCATATTACTCGGTACAAAAACATATATTTAAATAGGTTCAAATTGGGAATATCTAATGTAAAAGCAATAAATCCGTAAATAGCAATAAAGCAATAAATAAAAGAATTCTTAACGAAGAATTCCATCTGTCTTGGTCGCCAGCGAGTGTTCTAAGTTGTAGCCATAATCATTGAGATACATTTGGAATCGTTGTTTGCTATATTAATTTTGAATTTTGTAACAATTCTCCTGCGTCTTCTACGATTTTAATGTTATCGTCTTGAAGCACATGCTCAATCTATAGATGCTTTCCTATTGTCAATTTGTATTTGGCTTAGCTTACTTCGGTAAAATATGCCGCATATACTTGTCAAACAATGGATGACAAAGTCGCGAAGTTTCGTGATAATATATTAGTTCCGAAGTTCCGTCATAATATATTGCGTCCCTAAAACTGCTTTTACACTGGTGTTAAATATTCATAATTTTGTATGGCGAAAAATATACATATGTATTAAGTTTATAGAAAGTTTGCCACGTCTATAATATTTTTTTAAAATAAGTGCATCAGATCCACAATCATTTCATATAATACCATCTGGGCAGCTAACCTGCTAAACGTATTCTCTAAAATTCTGCCTTTATTTTGTATTACTGAAAGTATTTAAGCTTGGTTTTCAAAATGTCCTAGAATCCCATATAAATCAAATTAAATTTATTTTAGAGAGTCCGAATTTTTTTCAGAACTATATCTAGCATAACAAGGACAGTCACAACCTTCTTGGCTTTTTTTGTTAATTATAAAGGCATGATTCTCTGAATACCGACATGAAAAGGGCTTTCATTAGTAAAGCTATATGTGCGATGACTCCAATGCCTATTGATGCGTCCTATATCGCCTTTCAATTTATGATGTCGAAAGCACTTTCAAAGTCTATATTAAAGAGTAAAAGAGATTTTCTGTGATAGAACCAATGCGTATTAATACGCTTTATATCGCCTCTTAATTAATGATGTTAAAACCACGTTAAAAGTCTATATTGAGGAGTAAAGTGATCTTCGATGACCCCAATGCATATTAATACGTTCTATCTCAATTTTTAGTAAGTAATTTTTCAATAGTAAGTTTTCACAACTTAACACGTTCAGTGGTTGTTAAACGATCCATATTGTAAAGTACTGCCAAATCAGGATCACGGCATGGATCATCCTTTAGTATATAATTCGTTTTATACTATCTGTTATCGTACCAGATATTGTATCAAAAATGGCAAAATTTTCAATTCAACACAATATTTGTTAAGTTTTTAAAACTTTTTTTGAAAACTTTTTTTTATATATTATATTTATCTTATAATTAATTTTTTTTACATTATCCAAATTCCATGAATGCAACCGAATTTTAGACGAAATGAAAACGATAACAAAAATCGGTTTAAACGTTGATTTTTCATTATTGAATTTCGGTTTTTGATACAAAATGGTTAGAAACTAACGTGAAAATTAAATAATATTTTGAATAATTAAAAAAAAAATACTACCTAGGGCACCTAAAAAAATAAAAACAATATAAAATATTCCTAAAATTGCCATTTTATAATATTTGTGCATATATATTTAATATTTCACACTGTTCAAAATCAATAAAAGATGAAACAATAACTTTCTAGAACGACACAAAATACATTAAAACAAAACGTAATTTATGAAAAACTAAACAATGACAACAAATTGCAAATAAATAAAATACTCAAATATTTAATTAATTAATTAATTAACTATCTCAACTTCCCGGCCAACTATTCTTGTACTCAAACACTATAAAAATTAATTATTTGAATGTCATCATTTGAAATGCATTCTAATCACGTTAACGTGAACTCACATTAACGTGAACATCTAATTAACATAAATACAAATTGTATTATTATATTCATAATCCACAAACAAACAAAATTTGCATTTAACGGTTTCCACCTCTTTTAATGGTACTCAAATCGAAAACACTACAATAGAAAACTGCAACTACTTTGCTGACTCGAATAATATGATATATACATTTTCAACTTGTTTCCACTGCTCTTTAACACTTATCAATAATAGCTGTTCACACCAATACTTTTCTTTCATTAAGATTTCAAAACAAAAATCATGCAACAAATAACGTCTCTACAAACAGAATAGTATTGATATTTAACATTTAAAAATAAAAAATATGATTAATTAATTCAATTATTCTACAGCTGGTTTATGATTTCGTTCTAATGTAAACACAAGTTAATTTTACAAATTAACAAAATTCCACAAAAATGTGCAAACATAAAAGTCAAGTACGGTTTTAGGACAGTTGGAGCGCTGACTCTGAGCTTCAAATTTTGCAGGATTCTTAGTCTCAAATAATTATTTACGAATAATTAAATAAAAGAATTATTTCCAAGACCACTGATGATGGGTATTTGGCAATACTCGAAACAGCTGTATGGTTAGCCAAAAATTCAATTAATTAAAATAGTATAAAATTAATTTTTGTTGTTATAGTTCTTTACTTTTCAAAAAAAATCTCTTCATAAAACAATGTTTGTATATGTTGGTGGCAATCTACTCTACTCTATCAACCAAAAAAAAAACTATTAAGACTAAACAGGCCTAAAATGCGCTAGGGACAGATTTTGATATAAATTGAAATTGTTAAACAGCATCTGCGTAACATCTGAAAGCACGAAAGCTTTTTATATGGCTGGAGAAGTTTACTTAGTAAGTTAAACTTGCTTAACAAGCGCGTTCGTAAAAATGTAATATCTGCCTTGAAAAAGGTAACATAATTTATATACCGCAGCTTAATGCCTTAGCTTGAAGTTATAAAGTTTGCAAGGATATTGTACAGTTAAATGCAAACAAGTTTGTTAACGAAAACATAGATAAAAAATATTTTCTAGATAGAATTTCAATTGACATATTTTAGAAAAAAAATTTAATAATACGAAAACATTATTAATATATTAAATGGTTCTGAGATAGAACTGTTCGAAGAAACAAATTATATAAAGACCTGTATAATACATCGAAACTATATACTTTTGGAATATAACAACTTATGAAACGTATTATATAGTTATAATCAAAATATCACCATTATAAAAATATATGATATATGATACAATATATATATAAGTCGACAGATAACATCTTCTCACGGTCGCTATTTTATTAGTTTTTTTTAGAATATGGGAATAGAAGACTATAATTCGGTAAAATCGAAAAATTGTTGTTTTTTATACTGAAACCCCATTTTCCATTATAATTCCATAGAAATGTAGTAAAGTCATTAAAGGAATTGTTAATGACATACTACTTGTAGGTGCTTTCACAATGTCATTTTGAATTTTGCCCTAAATAAATTAAGTCATTTTAATGTCCATTAATTCAAGTAACAATTTCAATGAATTAGAAATAGTTCTCTGTTATCAACTTCTATAATTATTTTTAAACTTAATTGATTAAAAATTAATTAAAAATTTGAAAAAAAAAATTATAATTACCTTAATGTACTTAAGTACTTAAGTATTTTTTAAATGCGATGAATGAATTCAGAAATAAAAAAAATGCAATTGCCCTCGTTCACGTTATCGGTTTAGCACTGTAGTCTTAATTCGAACAGTCGTAGTTGAAAATTAGTTTTCTACTTAATTTTTAGATACATTAATTTAACTCGACAGACATATATATGTACCGCTCCCCTCCAAACGTGGACTACAACTGTTGAGAGAAATTATTGCCGGTAAACCACTTCCCTGTTTTCTCACTCAAAATGAAACTCAAAACAAATTCGCAATGCGCAAAAACATTTCAAATAGTTTTATGAACTGAGAGATTTTTAAAAATTCTACTAGCCTGTTTGATGTGAGGGGTTCGGTAATGTTTAATAATTACCCACAGCATAATATAATCTCAGATATACATATACGTATGTACACACATATATACGTGTATGCACTTTAATAGTCACAAGTTTAAGGTCTTCATAGCTATAACTTGATACTATAGTCACTAATTTTAAGTTTAAGTGCTATATTAATAAATAAACATATACGAGTATATTATTATATTAATTATTTATATACACATACATATATGTATTAAGTTTTGTTTTTTTTTTGTTTGTTATCGAATCTCAGATTAGTTACAGGCTCCTCGGGGAGGTATACAAATCTGAGGTTAATTATTGCGTAGTCTGACGAAGTGATATACAATAATCCAGTCAAGGCTTAGAGAGGGATTATGAAGAAACCTCGTGGTAAATAGAATGTAAAAGTGCTCAAGTGCACTGACTCAACTAGTCTTAACATAACAATAATTATTATATATAATAGACATATAACTTTCTTACTATTATTTTTTATAATTAAAAATAGTCATTTTCTATGGTGAAGATACAATTTCAAATAGAAAATGGGATAATAGTGATAAAATTTTCTTAATTAATTTCCAATTAAGTGAATTCTTGAGCTAACCAAACACCTGTTTCGGAATACACGTGGAAATGCTGACAACTGTTAGCACGCGCTTTCTGAACATAAACTAAACAAATTAGAAATGTCAAAAATGAAGGAGTGTCCTTTGTTGAAAGAGAGCATTTTTACAACTATTAGTTTATCTGCATTTAAGACATTCACCAGTTTATTATTATTCACGTTGTCACAAAATGCGAGCAGTCCATCTAACCAAAGATCCACTTGAGCCTCTATTTTTATTTGTAAGAATCCAATATTTTCACTTGTAATTATGTGTGAAAAAAATATTGGAAAAAAAATATTTACAAAATATTATCGCGGGTTATTATAACAATAACCACAACAATATAAAAATCAATTCTGAGTATTGAATTATCTATATAGGTGCTTCAAAAGGTTCGATCATCAAACTGCTACAATAGTTTGCTAGAAGACTGTGTGTTTATTTTTATTTTTAGTAAACCGAAGATATATCAATATAAATGAAAATATAAATACATATATATATAATCACATATGTAATAATCAATGCCCAAATACAAATACAAATTATCTAGAAAAGCAGAGAATTTATTTTTAATAAATTATTTGATTATAAAAATCGTCAATATTTAGTTATTAAATTAAATTATTTATTACAAAATTGTAGTGATATGAATGTCATTATTAGGTTTGCAAATAATGAAATCATATGCGTACTAACTTAGCAATAATGAGCTTAATGGAATATTTATTTTCTTTATTAGAAAATTAAGTAAGTTTCAATTACATAATTTAAAAATATTTGAATTTTTTTTTAAATAATTTTATTTTAACTTTTACACATATTTTTTTTCTTTAAGCTTACATATGAAAAACTATTATTTGTTTATAATTATTTTAAAAGTGATTAATTTATTATTAATTTGATTTGCATAAAACATATTTTTATGTTATGATATATATGCACATATCTACTTAAAAAATAAAATATGAAAGATAATTTTGTTTTTAAATTTTATTTAATAATTTTTTTTTTTGTGTATTCGAATAAATTTTACATAAATTAAATATAAAAATTTTTTACAAAATAGAAAATAACAAAGTAATGCGCTTTTTTAAAATAATTTACGGATCTTAAATATATATTTAAAAAATTGTATATATAATGTTACTACTAAAATCGTATTGAAATGTTTCGATTCAATAACTACAAAATAAAAACTAATTCTTTACAAACAATATTATTAAAATAAATTTAATGCAAAGTAATTATTTGGAAAACATGTGAAAATAGTACTTAAATAATATTATGTTTATATAAATAAATATATATATAATTCAAAATTGAAAAAAAATCTTTAGATAATTATACCCTTTACAATTTGTATTACATAAAATAGTAAAAGTTTTGTTTTGTTTACTTAATTTTGTATATTTGTAAAAAAAAGTACTTAGATGGGCTAATGACAGAGTTTTAATAAAATATATTTGCGTTACAGCTAATTAATTAAAAAACAATAACAATATTAATAATAACATAAAATATATCAAAAAAAAATGTAGTAAATATAAATATAAATTAACAAATTGTTTAAAATATGATTGGTAGTGATTGTGGAGAAAATGATTAATCTAATAACAAATTTAGAGATAAGATATAGAATTGTTGGTATGGACAGAAATAGCATCAAAAATATAATTTTTATTTACAGTTTTAAATCAATCAGTTAGAAAAAAAATCTAAACAGAAAAAGCGCAAAACTTAATTTTTAAAAATGTTCATAAAAAAAAATTATTTAACAATACTAAATATATAATATAAACTGAGTTCAATCAACTTTCCATTACATACTAAAATAAAATAATATAAAATATATAATATATGATAGCAATTAAATTAATAATATAATATAATTTGAAATAAATTTGCGTTTTTTTAACTGGTCTTATTATTAAGCTGTAAGTTTTGATCCTGTTGCCTCTTGGTGCGCTGCTCTTTGCGCCATTCCTCTATACGCTGCTTCAATTCAACGTTTGGCACGAGCATATCTTCAGTAAGTAGTTGCCGATTAAATGGATCAGTACTGCTATTAAGCAAATGTCGTGTTATAATGGAACGATCCATAATAGTACCAGAGGGTAGAATAACTGGATCAGTCATTAAAGTATCCATTAAAGGATCCCTAAATTCATCGGGCGCTTCAGCACATTCATCTTCTGCCTTTTGATTTGCTACTACAAAACAAAATTTTTTATTTAATTTATTTTTTAAATATATATTAAAAATTTTTTGCGAATTACCATAGATATCATGTGCCTTATTAATAAGTGTTCGAAATTTCTCAACTTCAACAGCTGAACGTATTCGTAAACGTTCGATACGATTGGCGGCATCATCAAATAAGTGTTTTTGAAAGGATCGTTCGTCTGCGGCTAATGATTCAGCAAATCTATCACAATGTAGATGTATATATATATCGAATATTTGTCCAAGCAAACGTCGAGGCTCCCACCCATATTTTATGGGATTTCTAACCTTTAAATCATTACACTTCGGGCCGCACAACTGTTGCAGATTGAAATTCAGCATAGAACTTAAACGGTCAACAAGTTCATTACGCATAAATGGCTCCTTTATATCATGCTAGAAGAGATAATACGGAAACATGAACACATGGCGAATACATATACAGTACTTTCCGCTTAAACTGACTTCAAAGCGTTGGAAAAAATGATTCCTTATTAGTGAAGTTCGTTTTAAGTGAATCCTATATATGTAAATCAATTATAGGCCCTATGCTCAATAAGGAAAAGGGGACTAGAGTAAATTAATAATGCTGTTACATTTTAATTATTTTTAGTAACTACATATATGTTATTGACGAAGAGAACGGCAAGTTCATACATGGCGCAGGCAACTTGGTCTTGAACTTGGTTACATTCAACAGAACGGAATGGAAGAATCTAATTCTGGCATTCTGCTTCTCATAGGATCTATGTGAACTAATATATATGTATATATATATAGCCGAAGGTTCGTTATAAACAGTATAATTTTAAGCGAAAAGTATTTTATTTTTCTACGTAGTTTAGAGAGAACACATGTATTGATTTTACCACAAAATTTGTAATCAGTGTATACATTTTGTTTTGACTTTCATTTTAGTGTATCCATTTTTGTTAAGTATAAAGGTAAACTTCTTTCAATAGAAAAGACATGATATATAATATCTTTACCGTTCTATAATTTATTATATATTTTTGTTATAATAATCAAATTCATAATTTTGACTACATTTCGGGGCATCACTGTTATACCAGTTTTGCAGATATATAAAGCAGAAAAATGAATTTGGTACGCGATTGCGCCAGTAAGAATAATTTCATGCCAGGGAAACAGAAAAATGCTGAATTCTTTTTTACCAACCTAATATGCATATACAGTGTTGTGCATAACAAAAGCAACCAAAATTGGCCCATCAAATAAATAAGTTTTTTGTCTACTTTTTACTTTTCATTCAAAAATCTAAATACACAGTTTTATTTGTTATTGTATTAGCTATTATAAAAAAACAACAAAATCTACAATTCTTTATAACGGGTTAATTAATTCACACAAATAATAAAATATTGCGAAATGCGGCTGTGCAAAACAATAGCAACTGAGACAAGATCAATGATAGATCTATGACCAAAGTACATTCTAGCAAGATATTTTTTTGATTTTTTACATTTTTATGCTGTGATTTATGTTTTTAAGCAAATTAGAACATAAACACAGAATAGTTCAATATTAAATCAGGTAATGGAAGTACGTTTTTATCATGGCTCGTGACACGTATACTTTGAAGTTTAAAGATGCAAGAATTGAAAAATATTTAAATGGCAGTGCTCAAATGAAATAGCCAAAATATTTAAAATTAATTAGTTTATTGTTTCGCAGCTTATAAAAAAATATAATTTGACAAAATACCGTTAAAACTGTTTATTTGGGTGAAGCCTCTCTTAAGATTACTTGTAGAATTGATCGAAACATCATAAGAATTACAAAAAAACAACCATTCGTGTCGTTGAAAAAGGTTGTAGCCGAGCTTAAACAAGGTGTTGACTCTAGTACTGTACGCAGGCTTACTCTCGAAGCCGGTTTCAAAAGTTACAGACCAGTCAAAAAACCAATGTTGACTAAAAAGCATTAGCAAAAGAGGTAGATTTTTGTTTTTCTTTTTAATTAATATTAATATACTTCAGTTAGATCAAATTTCGCGTGGAATCGCTTAAATTAGACTCTTACTAAATGGAAAATAATTTTTTTCAGCAATAAATCAAAATTTAACATCTTTAATTCTGATGGGATGTGCACAGTGCGTCGCGAAAAAGAAAAACGTTTGTATTCGCGTAACTGCCAAGCGACTGTGAAGCATGGGCGTGGGTCAGTAATAATTTGAGTGTTCTTTTCAGGATTTAGACTAAGATCTTTTCATGAAATTCATCAAATAATAGCCCAACATGTGTACAAAAAAATTTTAGAAAGCCATATGGTACCCCATGGCGGATGAGAAATGTCACTCCGACGGGTATATCAGTACGATAACGACCCAAAACACACCTTAAAGCTGATAAGAGAATGGATTTTGAAAAATGGAATTCCAATTTTAGATTAGCCAGCCCAAACACCTGATTTTAATTCAATTGAGAACATTTTGGTATTCTCAAACGTCGCTTTGGGGGTCGAAAAGTTTCCAAATGTTTGAGGTCATGAAAGATGAATGGTGTAAAATTCCAAATAGTTTTATTAACAATTTAATATCACCTATGACCCGTAGAAGTGCCCAAGTAATAAAAAGCAAAGGACTTTATACAAAATTTAGAAAAATAACACAAAAATTTAATATAATAAATAAAGTTGCTATTGTTCTGCACAGCCGCATTTCGCAATATCTCATTATTTTTGTGAATTATTTAACCCGTTATGAAGAATTGTAGATTTTGTTGTTTTTTTATAATAGCTAATACAATAACAAATAAAACTGTGTATTTAGATTTTTGAATGAAAAGTAAAAAGTAGACAAAAAACTTATTTATTTGATGGGCAAATTTTGGTTGCTTTTGTTATGCACAACACTGTATATGAATTAGTTCATTGTTTACAAATATTCAACTCATCAGTATAAGGAGCGGTACACCACTCAAACTGAGAAAGGATACATCTTTTTCTAAACATATAAATTATAATGAAATTACCGTCAAATAATGAAACATTTCAACTGTTTCACGTCCAAGAGTTAAATAAGATCGACATTGACGTTCATCAGTTGCCAATTGTGAGAGACGATTTTGTTGTCGTTCTGGTTCTAATTTTGCCCAAACTTCTTCATTTTGCATTAAAACCTATTAGTAGAAACATAAATTTTTAAACATAAATAAAATATTTGATAAACACTAATATAAATATATACTTGAGTTTGATGTATTCGCTTAAGATTTTCGAGACACTCATCCAAAAGGAATGTTGTGTCATTCATAAGCATATTGATGAATTTTACAAATTGATTGCCAGATTTTGATTCAGTTATCATAACTTGACGATGTATCGGATTATCCCACATTGCTTTAAATAAGTGACTGATATGATATCTATAAATTTAAATAATATAATTTTTTAATAAGAAATCAAATAATTATTTAAATTTTGAATTAATAATAATGGTGCATTACCTTATAGTAAATTTATCGTAGAATTCAGTGCTCTGTCCAGTGGTTTCAATGTCAACATAAAACTTCATAAGTGAACTACATAAAACAGTTTGGGACAGCTCATGGTACCACATCTACAAGTAATAATATCCTTATATTAATATCGCTACGTAACTAACATTCTAAAAGTATTATTTATGCTTACCGATGTGTACAGTACGTTTGGCGAACCTAATGAAAATACGAATAGTACCTCAATTAGTTTGGCAGTGACATATGGATTTTTGATAAGATGCTGCGCACAAACAGTTGTAAGCAGCCATGTTAAAATTGAATGGTCAATATAATGACGCATTTCAGTCGAGACATGCTGCATAGCAAATAATATAAACTCAGCAATATCATCAGCATACCATTCAGGCAGTGCACAAAATTCATCGTTTGGCTTCAATAGTTGCGGGTTCGTTTCCGATACAAAAGAACCTGTAATCTTTCTTCCTTCCATTTGGTGCAGCAAATATTCACAAACAGTCGAATAAAATGTCATGCACGTACCCAAGAGTTTTGAATCCAATAAACATACTTCACTACACAGTTTTGAACTAAAATAAAAATATTTAATATATTATATATTTTCTTAAAATACATTTAGAAAATAAAAATTTATTTTGTATCTGCTGAAGTTTTACATCCCACAGTTAATTAATTACGATTAATTAATCTGATTATAAATATAGTTAATTATTCTCAATATGTATTTTATAATAAAAGGAAGACTGCACGTTAATTCATACACGGCTTCGCTGGTTGGATACTATCATGAAAATGAACGACGATATTCCAGTGAAAAAGAAATTTGAAGTGATAGTTGGAGGAAGACCGTGTCTACTTTTGGAGCGGAGTGATCAAGTTTAGAGAGCCCTAACCGCAATTGATGTACGAGACTGGAGATGGAGGAGTATTGCGTCATTTCAAAACCCGGTAACTGAGGCTTATTGTCATTTAATTAAGTAAGTAAGTAAATATGAAAAGTATAAAAACTAAATACAAACACATTGCCGATTAGGAAAGAATTAAATAAAGAAATAACAAAATTTTACAACAAATAACTATGCAAGTGACTTGAAGATTACGATTTAAAAAATAATTCAATATCAAAGATTTATTATGAATACAACTAACCAACTTGCTCAATGATATACTAGAGCATAAACCCTATATAATTAATACAATGAATAGTCTACACCTCTCAACTCTTCTTCCATGTGACTTAATTTATATTTAACAATATTACGATTCGACATTCTGTAAGTGCACCCTATTTAGCTCTATTTACATCTCCGTATTCATTACGTAGCCATAATTAAGCTTCTACATGCCAAGTACAGATCAGTACTTGATTTTGTCCAGGTCCATGAGATCAAGAGAATTCGACGTAGATATTGGTTTATGAGTCTTAATTTCCCTTTCGATGGTGGTTTTTCTATGTTTGTGTGGAATACAGTAATACTCTATAGATTGGAGCAACTATGGCATAGTACACATCGTCGTTATATATGTTATTTAATCTTCTAGTCGGGTATATGTTTCCGGTAATTGGCTTTTAATAATTCCATTACTTCATGTAGTCTAACGATACATAGTAAAAGTCATTACATATATTTTTGCCATAAACTCAACTTCACAGCAACGTTTCGAAAAGTTGTCCAAAAACCTCAATAAATCATTTAATATATTTTGCAAAGATAGTAAAATATATAGATAAGAAATAGAGATACACAAACAGACAGACATGAAGTCAGACAGCAAATGCTGTTGTTATAGCCCGTGGAAATGTGCTTGAAAAACCCATTTGCGGGGTGCCGAAGGGCATTTAGGACGTAGACTCGACCATTCTTGGTACAACAGGAAATCGATTCATTCTGCTGTTTAAAAATGCATATTGTTTATGGTATCTAATATCTTTTGCACCAGTTTATAAACATTTTGACATACTTAATATACTATTTTCACATTATTCATATGAAGGACATAAAAAAAAAATATACAAAATATATTAAAAAAAACCTGTATATATATGTGTACTATATGTGTACGTCAAGAATTGCTAAATCTTACCGTGCTAGTTTTTTAAGTTGTTTAAGCCAACGATCACGAAATTGCTTATTTCTTTTGGCATATGAAGTGTTTTCCCAGTGTGATTTTGTGCGATCAAGTTCATCAATTAGTTTCTGCAGTTCTTTTATTGCACGCACCTTTTGACGATAGCGTTGAATAGCAGGCATAAAGCCCAAGTGATGCGCTTGCAACGTTAAAAACCAACATTGCGTTTGAAAGTTGTCGGTGTGCTCAGAGTTGGCATATTTTTTTTCAACAAATTCCTTATACTCCTGCTCTGTGAAGCGTAGCTTTGTATCGTTATCAATAGAAACCATTGAATCTTTATAAAACGGAAATACTGGATCGATACGATCTAATTTTATTTTGACTGAAAGTTGTTGCAAGATGTTCATTAAATTGATAATATATCCATCACGTGCCAACATTTTTTCTTCGCAAGCAAACTGTGCACGACGCTCATTAAAACGTAATATTCTAGCTATATAGTCCATGGTTATAGAACGACTACTTGTATTAACCAATAATGAATGGAACACAGAATACATTAGAAAACGCATGTGTTGCAGTTGCTGAATAAAGAAAATAATGACATTTAATCCTCTTAATAGTAACATCTTCATAAAATATAATTATGGATAACCCAAGAACATAAAGAAGTAAACTTACCCAACGAAATTTTGTCGAGTTAATGGCTAAAATACTACTTTTACCATGCGTATCTGCAAATTTAACATTTTCTTCCGCAAATATTGAAACTGATAGGAAAGGACCCAAATAACTGCACTTTACAATCTCTCGGCCAGGTATTTCAGAGCAAGTAGTAGGTAAGAAATTTGGTTGTGCTACCATTAAATCGCATAAAGGCCGCGATGAACCAACTTTGATTGTAGCCAACTTCGTTAAAACTTCAATTTGTTGAGTACAAATGTTGGTTGTACATATATTTCGTTGCATTCCAATAAATAATCCTCGCAATACTTTGCTAAAAATTTTCTGAAAAAGTGCATTTTGTTTGAGATAGCACTCTGTTACTACCAATCGTAGTAATTCTTCAGGGAAGCGTTCTTGATATAAAAATTCTAAGAAACATGATTGATCGATTATATCAGACGATGTTGTAAATAAACAACCTGATAGCACCAATATTGTAGAGTGTGTTATATTGTCCATAATCAATGAAAATATTTCTTCAGTTAGTTTATCATATGGAGATATTGGTTCTCCATGATTTGCAGAATATAAATCTTTAGAATCGCTATAATGTTTAAACGCTTTGGTTAGATACAATAATGCTTTTATTTGTGAAGTTGAAAGGTTTGGATACGGTGTAGGGCATAAGCCAATTCCATTTCCAGCGCTGGAACCAGTAGCAAAGCTTCCAACTACAAAAGTAAAACAATAACATAAACGAGATTGCAATAATGGATTCAGAATATTTTATTACTTACCACTAGTAAAGCCACGTGAAGTAGTGGGGAAATTAGCATCAGTGTCAAATGTATTACTATTGACCGATGCTGCAGCCTTTGAAAGTATTTCTTGTATTTCAGAATCATCACTTTTAATTTTTTTCGGTGTGGAGCCGTTAATGTCACTACCATTAGCGCGATCATCACTCATATGAGATCTGTTTTCATCGCCGTAATCATCGCTTTTAATTACCTTTTGCAAGCTTTCCATTAAAATTGTTGAAATAATAAAATCGAAATTGTAACGTAAATATGGATAATCTTCAAGAAGGGCGGCAGTTTGGGGACATATTATAACACCAACGCAATTTTCATTCCAAGTAGCATTAAGAATTTTAGAGATCATCATCTCTAAACGTGCATTTGCACTTTCTCTTGTTTCTGTTTTAACTTCAAGTGGAGGTTCTTCATTTACTTGCATACATTCAATATATGCATTCTTATCTGTCTTTGCGTCTGGCGACGTTTGTAATAAAAGAGACGGCACAGAGCTCACTGAATCTGATTTAAGATTTGGTGTCAACACATCTAAGTTTTTTGGTATTGTGATATCAGTGTCAACATCCATCTTCTGTGGAAGCTCATTGGTGTCTGTAGTTTTAACAATTTGCTGTGAATTGTTTTTTGGCTCTACTGGACAACGTAGTAAACGTGATGTATGTGAAACATTTGTTGGACGAACAGCTTTAATTGTTGAAAATGTAACGTTTAAAACAGTTTAAACAAAAAGTATTGGCACTAATTTAATAAGAAATTAAAAAAAAAAATCTTACCAAAAATTTAATTAAAACTACGCTTGGCTTTGTTGTACTTTAATAAGAATGTATAAATCAAAGAAAACGTAAAAAATAAACTTCGGCCGCACTAATAGTACAATGCGTGCTAATAGCAGGTATATCACACAGGATCTGGGTTCTAATCCTATTTAGTTCTGGTATGAAAACAAGTTTTATCTTAGAGCTTAGTGGCTCTGTCCCGGCATAGAGCTCAAATATTTTTTAAATTTGCAAAAATGTCAAATATGAACTTCATCTGGTATCGCTAAAAGCCCAAACAATGTATGCATGGCTTTCCTTCACAGTTTTCATACGAACGCTTTAAAATAAACCAGCAGATGTACAAACCATTTTTTTAAAGACTAAGTTTTCTTATCAACAAAAGGTGTCATCATACCCCTACCCAATGAAATTGGTACAATAGAACTCATCTGACCGTTGTACCGCAGTAGTAATAAAAAAGAATAAGATTAGGCTTGGTTATATTAGCGACTCTAAGGATTCACTTAGGTCTATTGCTGCATTGTGTTAACATATAAGGAGATTTAAAACCACCTTAAATTTTTGGCAAAGCCTAACATGCTGATTAGAAACAGAGCATGGCCTGAAGCTGTCCAAGTTTTTCAAAAAAGGAAGTTCTTAAAATAGTGAATCGGCGAATGAAATAAAGCAAATGTAAGACAACTTCTTCGTCCACTGCATAACTGCAACAGGAAGACTGGTATCTTTACGAGATATCTCAAGGAGAGTGCTAAATTTTTTCTTAACAGAACGTTAGTTCTATTGCAAGTTGGTCTTGCATACAGATGTTTGGATATCGTTAAGTCTTCCCATTTTGCATTAAATTGCTCAACACAGAAAGACTTTAACAACTGTTTGCATGATATCAGCAGCTTCATTAGGTGTTCTGAATGTTTGCCTAAAACACCCCATATGACTATCCCTATGACCTGGAAGCTACAATAGAGGGATATTAATATCTCACTTGGAAATCTCATTTACAGCAGCATAAGGAATTAATTGGTTTGATTGATATGTGGTATGATATGTAGTAGTGCGTATATTTATTACACACAAGTTCATGAACACAAGGTGGATCGTATAATCAAACATTTTGGAACATACATTGAACAAGTTTTTCAATTAAAAAAGATTGCAATACGAGTAGCAAGTCTTAGTAAGATTTAATCGTGATTAAAGAGAGATACTACACCGAATTGGAAATCTGCGTCAAAACGTTGGTTAGCACTAATTACATAAATAAGTCAGTGAATACAATAAAAGGAATATTTACTCTCTACTACAGCTGCTTCTCGTTTTGGCTCGGTAGTCGAATTAGTTTTAGCTAAACTTGTTGCCGCTAAGGTCCGTAATCTTCGTGCGCGTATCTGATAATAAAGCAAACATTTAATGCACATAAAAGCTAACATTTATTGTTTTATTCTCACCTCTTCCGGCGTCAGTTCAGTCTGATAACTTGATTTTTCTTCCATAATACTAAAATTATTTGTTTTTCTGAAAAAAAAGAAAAAGAAGATATATAATTAAATGAAAGCGATTTAGTCATTGATACTGAAAACTGAAAACATATGGAAATGCAATTTTTTTTGAATAACAATTATTTAATTTGGCACATAATTCATTGATGGCAAGGTGATTGTCTTATTATAAACTGTATTAAATCTTTAAATGCGCGCAATTTTTTTTGTGTTTATATACTTAATAATTTGCTATGTATTTTTAAAAAAATTTATATATAAATATTCACTGTTTGTTGGCTACAGTTTGCATTGTTATTTTTGTTTTTTATTGTTTTTTTTTCTTTGTTTTTATCTATGTCGATGTAAAATGTGTGCTCTGCAATGATTCCACAATTTTATATTACGAATAAATATCTAGCACGGGTGAAAGAACTAATAATATGCGGAATACATAATGCGCAATCATTTTAAGACAATTCTTTATACGAATATCAGCCGTGTAAAGAACGCAAATGACAAGTTCATGGCTACACGACGGATGCTAATATGACATTGTTTATATTAGAGAATAGGTAAAAATTAAAATTGAAAATTAATGATTTACAACAAAGAGCATATTACTTCCTACTGCAAAACGCATCGCCACATCGATTGTTCTTTATATTTGGAGCCAATCAGTTCTCCAATCCGTCATTATTAGGTGAAAGATACACAAATAATATAGGGCGAAAATAAAGAACTGAATCGACTTACTGATGATATCCTGATAAAACCATATCGCCACACCGATTTTCCTTTTTATTTAGAGTCAATCAGGTCTCCAATCCGTCATTATTAAGTGAAAGATACACAAATAAAATAGGGCGAAAATAAAGGACTGAATCGACTTACTGATGATATCCTGATAAAACCATATCGCCACATCGATTATCCTCTTTATTTAGAGTGAATCAGTTCTCCAATCCGTCATTATTAAGTGAAAGATACACAAATAATATAAGGCGAAAATTAAGAACTGAATCGACTTTCTGATGATATCCTGATAAAACCATATCGCCACATCGATTTTCCTTTTTATTTGGAGTCAATCAGTTCTTCAATCCGTCATTATTAAGTAAGAGATACACAAATAATAATATAGGGCAAAAATAAAGGACTGAATCGACTTACTGATGATATTCTGACCATAGAAATATTATGGAGAATACAAAAAAATCAAATTATTTTGTTTGCTTTAGTACTTCACTGGGTGTATCTCTAGAGGTAATGGTTTATATTCGTCTGGAGATAAGTCCGATAGCAACTTCTTTTCACTTTCTTCAGCTTGTTAACAATAGATGAGGTCACAACATTTACAATTTGTCAGTTAACTTAAAAAGGTATCCTTTGCTACTCTGCCGGTTTGCTGACCGAAACATTCGCAAATTTTCTCTGTTATTGCTTAACTTTAGCTATTAGATAAAAGAGGTATTTAGAAATGTGCTTCTTTGACAGACTGTCAGATCACTCATGGGTAGAAACAAAACATATATTAAATTATTTAAACAAAATATATTTAAATATATCATTGGGGTTTTTTGCGAGGAATATGGTTTTAAGATAACGAACAATTACGAATTATAAATAGAATAAATATCTTCTAATCAGTCACTGCAACCAATTAATCATCTCTAATTGATTGGAACACATTATAACAAAGTTGAACACGTAGCAAATTGACACAAGTTTTTTAATCTTTTTTATAGATCTAAAACTATGAAACTAAATTTATTATATTAGTACAATTTGCTCAACTGAAAAAATGGAAAAGATGTTCAACTTTTATAATAAAGTTGAACTAAAAATAGATAAGGGATGATTACAGTAAGAAATCTTCCATATATCAAGTAGGTTTAGTTTCCACGACCACAAGATGAATACCATATACATTGTGACCGAAAAGTTTTCGGAAATTCTCATTTAAAATTCGCGCGCTGTATATTTTTCGATATTTTAAGTTTATGTAGTTTGGCAGCACTGTCCTTAATTACTATGCCAAAAATGAGCGCGATCTGTCAGACAGTTCGTTTACGGCAGCTGTTGAAACCAGTTCACCTCAGTAGTGCGTTGCGAAAAAAACAATGGAAAAAAATATTGATCAAAGAGTTTGCATCAAATTTTGTGTTTCGAACGAATTTTCGTGTGCAGAATCGTTGCGAATGCTACAAAAGGCTTATGGGGAATCAGTTTTATCGAAAACTCAAGTTTATGAGTGGTACAAAGCCTTTCAGGACTGTCGTACGACCGTCGAAGACATGCCGCGTTCTGGACGACCTTCGACCTCTACCACCGACGAAAACATTGAAAAGGCAAAGGAAATCGTGTTCAAAAATCCTCATGTGAGTGTTAGAGAGATAGCACGAGAGCTAGGCATCGGTCGTGAGATGGCTCGTTTGATTTTGGTGGACAATTTGTGTATGCGACGTGTCAACGCTCGGCTTTTTCCGATTCACCTCAATTTGTTCCAAAAACACCATCGTGGACAGGTCTCGTTAGACATGCTTGATCGTGCCAATTCCGATCCAACTTTCATGGAACGCATCATAACGGGTGACGAGACATGGGTCTACGAGTACGACATGCAAACAAGCCAACAATCATCGGAATGGAGAGGAAAAGACGAGCCGAAACCGAAAAAACCACGCCAAAGTCGCTCGAAAATCAAGGCAATGCTGATTGTTTTCTTCGATATTCGTGGTGTGGTGCATCATGAATTCGTCCCTGAAGGACAAACAGTCAATAAAGCCTATTATTTGACTGTTTTAAGACGTTTGCGTGAAAATATCCGCCGTAAACGGCCTCAATTGTGGAAGGATAATTCATGGATTTTTCATGACGATAATGCTCCCTCGCACCGAGCCAACATTATCAACGATTTTAAGGCCAAACATTCAATAAATACCATCGAACAGCCCCCGTATTCACCTGATCTTGCACCGTGTGACTTTTTCCTGTTTCCCAAACTCAAATTACCACTCAGAGGAACGCGTTTTGAATCCATAGAAGACGTAAAACAGAATTCGCAGAGGAAACTCAAAGCCATACCGGAAAGCGCCTATAAAAAATGTTTTGATGATTGGAAGAAACGTTGGCATTTGTGTATCGCTTCTAATGGAGCATATTTTGAAGGAGATAAAATAAATATTGATGAAGATTAAGAATTTTGCGTTTTATTTAAAATTTCCGGAAACTTTTCGGTCACAATGTATGTATGTATAGAGCATGGTTCGGTGTAAGAAGAGCTATGCAGTAATCTATTTTGATAGTTATTCTAATACATTTTAGAAATGACAACTATATTCAAATATTAGCTATGATGTACTGCAACCAATATTTCATAATATAATCCCACTCATTCCCCCACTCAAATAATAATTCTAGAACTGATTATGAATTGTTCAAAAAGTGACACTTAATATAATTACTAGGAGTTGATATTTAAAAGCTTGTCGTCATCATTTTATTTAAAAATGTATCACAATAATCATAATATATGTGCCAAAACTACATATATTGGATTAGATAACTCTTATAACTGCGATATAAATAATTGAAATTTTTTATATATATATAATTTTTTTTTAACATCACGATATAAATATCCATTTCGTCGAATACTGCTTGTGCCATGGAGATTTAAAGGATAAAAATTTTGGATATGAATCTTTAAAATCCTGTAAGTTGGGTTCATTACAAAGAAAGAAATAGCCGATTGAATCAGAACAGGCAATTCCTTACTACGATTACAAGTCATCTCCGTCGTGTTTCAAGAAATCAAAACTATCAATTGTTCCAGTTCTCTGTAGAATACGAAATTGAATATATAACCTATATTATATATATATCACATGTATTATATATAAACTATATTATATATATATATCACATGTATTATATATAAACTATATTATATATATATCACATGTATTATATATAAACTATATTATTAATAAATACTCTCTTTTATGGTTACTAACATTCGAAACTGAATAGGCAAATAAAAATTAAGAAGAATCTCTGTATAACTAACACTTAAAAAACTATGGTTATGTTCGTACAAGGTTGCCACTCAAACCTAATGGTTTGGTAACCTATGGTTATATTCATTTTAAATTATTAGAAAGCTTATATAAAATGTTTGAAGACAGCAGATTTAAAACTTAATGTTGTACATGTATTTCAACAAATAAAAACAATCCAATAATGAAAAATATTGTAACAAACTTAAATCCAAGAGAAAAAAAGTTTCCCTTTTCTCTTTTTTTAGTTTACAGTCTACACTTCAGCGCTTGAATACCAGACCTATTTTTAGAAATCAATAATGACGAGAAAAGACAAGAATTGTACGTAATATGCTAGTCAAAAATTTCAGCTGATAATACGACAAATCGAATAGAGCTCTTTGCATATAATGCGAATTTTAAAATAAAATGAATTGAACTTATATTTATTAAAGAATCATATTGATTATATAGACTATATATAGAACTATTGCGAAATTTTTGATGACATACACTAATTTGAAAAATTTGATCTAAATACAATTATTGAAACAAATTTATATATACAGATATGAAACAAATATAAAATCGAAAGAATATATATACAATATTTAAGGACGGTATATAATATACTTAAGGACGGACAGACGGTGTTTCATAACAAAAAATTCTAGGATAAAATCTATAAGTCCCTGTAGAAAAATTATGTCAACATTTCTTAATATAGTAAAATACATATACTCGTCTAGTAATATCTGCTATGCATGTAAATAAACACCAGCATTTATAGGTGGATTGGAGTAATACAATGAAATGCCTAGCTTTGATATTTGTCAAAAAATTAATTTGGCAACACCACATCCAGACAAAGAAGGCATATGTATAGAAACTCTGAATTAGTTTCAATCACTCTTCAAAAGCAAAAAGTTGAAAAGAAAGACAGCAGACCGTCTTAGTCTTTCAAATTATGTCGCCTTTAGTTAAACTGCTTAAT